TTAAAGTTTCATTCATTTGTGTATAATCTTAATTGGTTTACAACAGCTTTTGCTTAGGGTATAAACTGCCATCTAAATTTTTGTACATTCTGGTTAGGCACATAAATATTCTGTATCAGAAAAATCACAAAGTTTACCTCAGTCTGTGTGATAATTAACTCAATTTTAATCTCTAAGGGTGAACTGAAATATGTATTTCTTTTGAATCCACACTGCTAAACTTTAAAAAGTCATGAATTTTTACTGTAAAAAATCAGGAAATGCAGAAAAATATTACCTATAATATTACCTGTAATCCATTAATATATTCCATTCAAAATGTCATCTTATGGTGTGTATAAATTTTTTTATTGAAACAAAGTCTCACTTTGTTGCCCACTCTGGTGAGCAGTGGCACAATCAACTCACTGCAATCCCCACCTTCTGGGTTTAAGCAATTCTCGTGCCTCAGCCTCCTGAGTAGATAGCACTACAGGTGCCCGCCACCACGCCCTGCTAATTTTTATATTTCTAGTAGAGACAAGGTTTCACCATGTTGGTCAGGCTGGTCTCAAACTCCTGACCTCAGGTGATCCACTTGCCTGTGCCTCCCAAAGAGCTGGGATTATAGGCGTGAGCCACCATGCCCAGCTGCATAAAAAATTTTTATAAAAGTAATGCCAAAACTTTACATATTTCTTATTTTTTTCAATAAAATAGACTTAAAAATTTATTCTATGTTAATTTTCACTTTATTAGTCTCATTGTTCAATTATGTGACTCCTGGAAATTAAAAAGACAGTGTGCCTTTATAGACAAAGTGCAGGCACTATTTCATCGAGGGGAAAGAAGGAAAGTACGGTGCCCTGATATAAATCCGTCAGTGTGCCCTTCCAGGATTCCTCAAGGAATGAAAATTTTCCAGGTATACAATCCCCAGAGTGATCTTGGAGTGAAGACAGCAAGTGTGTCCTACCTAGAACTTCCTAATGGAACGCTTTAACGATAACTGCTAGTTTAATTATGCGCAATGCGATAACATTTGAATAGCGGCAAAAGAGAAGTCAAGTAATACTTAACCTGCTTTAATTATGTATTATTTTAGAAGGGGATATTTTCTTAACAGGAACTCTCACTCAAAATTGCAGCTTTGTGCTTTTAGCATGGATATTTAACGCACAGCCCAGTTACTGAGTATTCATGTGCTCAGATGTACCTTTGCATAATATTGTAGAGAATTCTCTTTTAACTGACAAGTGAGTGGAAATCATGCCAACATTTCTTTCTTCCTTTTAAAAAATTTGTTGCAGGCTTGTGCTCTACAGACAATACACCCATCCTTCAACTATACAGCTTCAATATAATTGTATTTCCCTTTATTTCTCACTTTTATGTCTTTGTTTTGAAAAGCAATGGTGTGTAGATAAAAGCTTACGAGTAAGATAGACAGTAAATTGAATTTCACCTCTCTATTTGTTTACTGCGTGACCTTGGGCAAGTTGTTTAACCCACCTAATTCTCAATTCTCTAATGTGTAAAATGGAGATGATGACATATTTTATAATTCTGTTGTGAAATTTGAATAATAAGAAGCATAGAGATCATCTGTCACCTTATGCTGTCTCAATATAAGTCTCTTTCCTTTCCTTTTATTGTATTGTACTTTTCTACATATTTCGTTGTGTACTTGTCACATATTTTAAATTTCCTCATCTCTTCTGCTTTCATTATTTCCAGGATGATCTCAGCGACATAAGATACATCTGGGCCCATCCGACTTATTAGTCTCTCACTCTCTTTCTTTTTGCTTTTTGTTTTTTCATCTTTACATTTACTTTCTTTCAAATCGAACATGTTTTTTCTTTGGAGAAACTCTGAAGGTGTCATATACAAGTACATAACAAACAGCTTCACCTCAGTCCCTTATCATTTTAATTTATTTTTCGTCTTCCTATGGTGATGGCTCTAGACCTGATATATAACATATTCATATGTGTTCCCAACTTATCTAACAAACCATCTCCTTGCAAGTTTTTCTTGACCTAAATGGTATAAAACAGCCTTAGCTATGTTCTTTGTCGTGATACCAGAATACAATCCACTGAATACCTTATGGCCCAGGACTGCATGGGCCACATCCTGCCTCTTGTCAGACTAGCATCTTTTCCTGGAAAACCAATTTTATCAGGACAGTGATGTTTGTCACTTCTAGTTCTTCATACCTTCTCAAACATCCTTTAAAAATATGATCACAGCATTCTTTTATTGTGTTAGTTATTTCACTGTTACTTAGGATTTTTTAGCTGAGATAAGGTATACAGTTTAGGGTCAGTCCACGGGGACTGAGGACACCTCTCTTTTTCAACTCACTGGTTATCCAGTTTCCAGGTTGTGGAGTGAAGTCTCACATTCAATCACTGGATTTTTCATCTTGGGCTTCTTTTCTGTTGGGAAGCCGTATAATTTTCTTTACATGTCTTTTCTTAAAATTGAAACAGTTAAATTATCCCATTTCTTTTCCATATATATATTTTTTTTGCCATCCATTTGCACTCTGAACCCATCAACCTCTCCTCTCTTCATGAACACAGTAAGATGTTTGCAGCATGCACCTTCATTTTTGCCTTACCCTCCTTTTTTTCTTTCCTTCAGTTTGACTGTATCAATACAAATGGCCCTCATTTTGCTCTCTGATTTATGCAGTAATTCCTCATCCTTGTTTTCCCCCGACTGCTCTCATTAAATGTATCTCAAACTAAAAATATCTTCAGGCTATGAATTGTTTGAGCTTCATTTCTTCTTCTCAGAGTGCTTCCTCTAGAACTTTCTCGATGGACTCCGATGTCCTGACAAAGGAACAAAATTTTTCACACCTTGGATATTTCTTCTAGAATTTGAATCATCTTCCTATTCTGTGGGAATAAGGTTATCTTCCAAGTGTATTTTCTAACATATGCAGCTTTTAGGGAAGATATTAATGATTTGAAAAGTTGAACTTTTCTTTTTCTCTTACACATAAACTCTCACAGTCCAGTGACTCATCTTTTAGAAGTAATTTTTCAGCCTTTCTGCAGGTATATATATGTAAACATTTTAAATTCTGTATTTGTTTTAGATTGGTTCTATATATTTGCACCCTTTATTTAGTTTTATTTACTTTTAGTCCTCTCAATTTTTTTTTCTAAGTAAATCTTATATTCTCTTTAAATGCAGCTGTTTTTCTTCTTTAAGGAAAGGAGACATATCCTTAAATAACCTATCCATTTGTATTTCTTGGTGCCATTGTCTGAGAGGAAGAGGGGGCTGCAGCATTTGCTATAAAATCAAATCTCTCTTTTTCCACAATTGACATCCATAATCATCCATCTCAGAGTTAGTTCATTTACCTCTGAAATGTTTACATGCCCCGTCAGCTAATGTGATGGTTGCAGATATACTCACTCTCAGTACAGCTATTTCCCAATTTCCAGACTCACAATAAAACAAGTTTATTTAGTTTGAGTTCCAAAGGCTGTAACTCTAGCTTCTGCATTTTAATTATCTGTTTTCATTGTCTTCTTTTCAATTGTGATGTGCTCGTATTTATCCTTCAAGATTTTGTGTGAAACCTCTTTTTTCCTTTTCATGATTCCTCATAATCCACAGACTTATGGAAACACAGTATTCTTTCTTTTTTGTTTTGAACTTGAGTTTCATTTATTTTGGACTTTTGGAGCAGTTTCCTTTGATTTATTTAGTGATAATTTTGTCCTTTCCCTTATATATTTTCTTTTTCCTCTATAAACTTCCCCCCAATTTTTATTCCAATGTACACATTCTCTTTCCTTCTGCAAAAATCTTGCTTTTTCTTCCTTTTATTTCTACAGCTCTTGATCATTACTAGATACTTCATTTACTTGTCTTTTATTCTTCTTCTACTATTATGACTTAAATTATTAATTTTTAATCATCTCATCTCTACCTAAAGCTACTTTGAATGATTTTCCATATCAATTGATTCTAGGATTCAATATTTCCATTGTGTACAATTTTATTATCATGTGCTTTTAGGAATTTTCATAAACACTTCCCCTTCATCACAAAAATTACAAAAGATACAATAACAGCTTAGCAGCTAATACTGTGCAGTGCTTAATAATGTTTAGGAAGTACTTAATACTATTTATGAAAAGCTTTCTATATGCCAGGCCCTCTGCTCTGTGTTTTACCTGGCAGAATTGTCTGACTCAGCTACTGTTAGCCTTTCATTTTATAGGGGACAAAACTGAATTTTGCAGAAACTATCCAAGTTAGGGTTTAGTTTGCTGAGGGTCACACAAGGAGTAAGAGGCAGATCTAGTATTCAACCAGCTAGTCGGGCTCCAAAGTCCCCCCCCAACCCCTGCCCACCCCTGCCAGGAATAAATCTTTCTCCCAGAGTAAGCGTTATTTAGGCATCATTTTAGTGTGGGGCAAGACATGAAATTAAAGGCCTAGAGAAATCACTTGGATACTGTGATACAGGCCAGACAGCATACAGTGGTGAACACATTCATCCAAGTGGTGCCGCTGCCCTTCTTCTCCAGCTGAGATCTGCCATGTGCTCGTGAGGAGGAGTCAGGATTTGCAAGAGTTCTTAATCAGCCAAGGTAATTAGAAATCCAAGTATTTAGCGTGTGATGTTTCCCATTGGAAAAGTTGTATCTCCTTAAAAAAATTATACATCATGCTGGCTAACCAAAGACATCTATATCTGTAATACAATCTGTGGAATTTGACACCTCCATTTAACTGACTCGTAAACCTATTATATCCAATGGATACCATTTTTCCTCTAGAAAAACATAATTAAGAATATGGTGCCTGTCACACCTCGATTCTCACCCTGAGACTATGCTCTAGAACCAACGAACTAGGTTCAAATCTCAGCTTTTCCACATGACCTTATGCAATTTACTTAACCATTCTGTGCCTCTGTTCTTTGCTTATTAATATAAAAATAGAAATAAAATTGTCTGCATCAGAGAATTTTAAATAGTTGCCTTTAAAAATAATTTTCACCGGTTTCACTGGAGAGTGGGGGAGTAAAACTTCTCACCTGCCATACCAACAGTCAGTTCACCATTGGGTTTTTATGAGGATTGAGTAGGTTAATATTTGCATATTTAATAAAATACTGAAAGAACAAGAATAAGAAAAGATCACTAGGCTTTAACTCAGGATCTCTGAAATTTGAATTGAAGTTTTTAATCCACTTACTATATAACCTTGGGAGAGTCACCTGAATGCCATTTGTGTCCTCATCTGTAAAAATATATTTTGTTTTGAAAAATATGTGTGTTATCTTATTATCTCAAGGTATTTGAGGATCCCTCATGTCTATTCTTTACGGAAGCAAAACATCCCATCTTTCCATTGTATAATACAATGCCAACTCCTGAAGATGTTGCTCTACATGGTCAAAGGGTGAGCATACTGCAGGCAACCAAAGGTCAAGACAAATTTACAAGATCCCTCCCTACTGCTGTCACTATTCAGCTTACCAATAGTGCCTTCCTAGTCAGTGTCTATCTGGTCTCAGTAAAATAATATAGAGTCACACAAAGGACACGAGCTTCTGGAGCAGCCTTATGCACACTGAGTTCTATTAATGATGTGGCTATAAAAGGAGGCTGAAGTAGTCATGGCTGAATGTTAATTTAACTACAGCCATATCTAGTGCAGTTTGGAGCGTAGGAAGAAAAGGTATCCTATTAATATCTATGAGTGTGTTAGGACTCCCATGTACCAGTCAGGGTGAGTGACGTAGCAGTCCTAAAGAACAAACTTTATGAGCCACAAAGTGTTCTTGGAATTGAAGATCTGGGAAAATAATGACTATTTCCCCAAGACTCTTACCTTTGAGAATAGCAATACTGTTCCATAGCATAGTGCTTGATATTATTTAAGAATTAATTTTAGAATGGTTTCTTCTAGTTTTATTGATCAGAGGCTGAAGCTGCTTGTTTAAAAGGAATTGTTCGAAAGTGTCTAAGTTGAAGGATTGAGAAAAGTCTTTTGGGTTTATGTTGGCTAGGTCAATGAGAAATAGCTCAACAAGACAGGAAGAGAAGAGAAGACCACACTTTGTTAACAAGGGTTTCTTTGGTCGCTCATCAACTTTATAATTATTGGAGTCCTCTAATAACATTTACCTTCTGCTTCTCTTTCAGCAGTTTTTGCTTCATATTAAACTCACTTATTTATGTGTCCTCAGATTGTGTGTTGCTTATAGTCAGAAAATGTCTTTGCCCTAGAGTTTCTCTGCACCATCTAGCACAATGTCTTTCAAGTGTGATGAATGAACAAAAATACACGTGTCTTTACACAGGCACACATATATACTCATCCTGAGACATTACCTACTTATGTTCCACTGATCTCAATATATGTTTCGGTTCATATGACTCTAATACTCTAATTTCTTTTAGAGTAGGTTGAGCCTTGTTTAAAAGAAGAGGGGGTGGTTTATACACACACACACACACACACACACACACACACACACAGACTTAGCACACCCTTGGCAGAATTCTTGATGAGTCAAGGCTATTAGAAATCCAAGTATTTTGTATGTGAAGTTTCCCATTAGAAAAATTGTATCTCCTTTAAAAAAATCATACATTGTGCTGGCAAACCAAAGACACATGGATGTGTAATACAATCTGTGGGATTAGACATTTCCATTTAACTGACTCCTAAACTTCTTATAACCCATGTATACCATTTTTCCTTACCCCAAAGAATTCATCAAATCAAAATCCACAGAAATCTGAAGGAACTAAAACTTTTTAAATTCAGTCTCTAATTAATATTCATAGATCTATGGTTATACAATATTTGATTACAAAGTCATTTAAAATGGATTAATGGAACCAAAGCTTTATGGTTACTACTAAGGACTAAATGTACATTATGATCATCAAATAATAGAAATTCCTAGAAACCTGATTGTATACATATAGGAAAACTAATGCAAAACTACCAAGTTTCAAATATGATTTTTTGAAAAAAAATAATTCTTAACCAAACACCATTTCCCTTGAGAGATTTGCTGCCCATGGTAATGGAGTCAAATACCTGCAGAAGAACATAATCAAAACTCAGAGGAAAGTAAGGGGGAGCAAGTTTTTTAAAAGGAATATTGTTTGCAGTCCTGTTGTTACTCATTCTTGTTGATAATTGATTTTGTGCTTAAATCTCACAAGAATAAACAGGTTTTAGCAATACTTTAAATTCTTAGCGTTTTCTAGGAAGCGGTTGTGATCAGTGAATCAGATCTGACTTAATCTGATGAATGAGTATTCTTTTCAATAGAAAAGCCAAGAAGCGCTGGATACTATTCGAATGCTTCCTAAACCCTATTTCAACACTTCTCAAATTGAACTTACTCTTTTCCTTCAGATATGTGCTCTTCCTTTTATGTCTCGTGTCTCCATCAATACATTACCTTCCTTCTAATCACCAGAGCTAGACAGTCCTGGTTATTGTTGATACACTCTTTTTCATCCACAGCCACATTTAATAGATCAATTATCCTCCGAAAACTCTTTCCGGCCTTGCTTTTCCCACTGCCACTAGTTCAAGCCTTTGTCATCTTTTTCCTACTGCAATAATCTCTCACTGGCCCTTCCCTCTCAATTCAACTTTCTATAATACCACTGGATTTATCTTCCTAAAACACTAATAAGCTTACATTGCTTCCCAGGTAAAAAAAAAAAAAATAGAAGAAATGATTTCTAAAAGCACAGATGTCTCTCCATTTCAATCGGGGTGCCAGCAGGCATATTTTGTTTAGTCCATGGTCTAAAATTTTTTTGATTGGTCAACATTTAATAATTTGTAGAATCAACTTATGATATTTACTGCTTTTCTTGAAAAAGAGCAACCTGCAATGGTAGGTTGGCATTTCTCCCTTTGGACTGATTTGCTGTCCCCACCTACTCCTGCAAATGTAAGGCTTCCCTATGTCACTACAGTCCCCATCACTCCCTGTTGTCCCCATGTCTCCTTAGCAATGACAACTTCTGTTGCTTTCACTTGTCATATCTTTTTTCACTGTAGTTTTTCTTATCCCCAACCCACTTCCTCCTACTGAGAATGTCCATGTTTCTTAGCACAGCATTCAAGGCCCTTATATGTTGGCTTCATTATCCTCTCCTCATTTTATCTTCCTCTATATCCCACTTTGTATTTTAGCCATATTAGACTGCCCCTTGTTCCTAGAACATGTATGAGCTGGGGGTTTCAAGTACAGATGGACTCAGACTGTTTGGGGTCAAATTTCAATCTTTATCAGCTCTGTTATCTTGCATAAACTACCTAACCTCTCTGTGGCCTGGGTATTTCATTTTTGTAGTGGAGATGTTGGTTCCTACCTTCTACAGTTAATGATCCTGATTTAAGAGAGTTAATATATAGGAAACTTTTGGCACTTAATAAATGCTCAGTAAATTTTAGGTATTGTTAATTTCCCACCAAATGTTTTACTCATGAAGTTCCATCAGTTGAGCATATCTTTTTTTGTTTTGTTTTTTTGCCTGGTGCACTTCTACCTCTTTAATAGTCAACTTAAGTGCTACATTTGGGAAATGTTTTCCATTTCCCCCATCAGAATTAATGACTCCTTTTGTTTATGTAAGTATTCATAGCCTAATTTGGTTATACCTCTTTTGTGGATTTACCATATCTCCCACTGGATTTTCAACAACTTCAGGGAAAGGAGCAGATCTTACATGTGACTTTATGTTCTGAATATCTAGATGAGTGCTGTACAAATAGTAAATGTTCAGAAAAAGTATTGCTTGAAGAAAAGTGAATTTATGAGCTTGTCTTTGATGAATCAAGTAATTAGAAGCTGAGTGAATCTTAAAGAGAATTATGTACAATTCACTTACTGGAAAAGTGGGAAAAAAAACCCAAATGGATGTGGAAATTAAGTAATTTTACTATGGACAATTAATGAAGTAGAACAAGGACTAGACCACCAACACCGTCACCCTGAACTTGCACTTCTGTTTTTTGTTTGTTTTTAGAGAAAGGTATTAATGAGGAGCCCCTACATTAAAATAATAGTGGGGTCATGCAGGCAGGTCTCCTGGAAGGTAATTGTCTGCCAATGTTATGCCAGCAAACCACATGTCAGGATGAAGATGGTGACAACAACCATATTGTTGAGGGACTATAATTTATAAGGTACAAACTTGCCATTGCCAGCATCTCTTTTGTGCAGCAGACTTGTACCATCTTTCCACTCTTCTCAAATCACTCATTCATATGCTGCCCTTATCTCCACTCGGAGGTCATTAGCTGGGGAGGGAACTTGAAGGTAGGGAACCTTTTTCAATCTATTTTGTGGCTCCAGTATCTAGAAGATTTCTCAGCAAATTATAAACACTCAGTGGGTTTTTGTTGTTTTTTTTTTTTTTTTTTTTTCAATAAATCTGTGGAACAAAAGTCTCAAGAAGTAGAACACGGAGCTATGGAGATAGATCACAAGATAGAGTCAACAATTTGCTAGGCTCATGTAATGACTTATTGCTGAGGACTCACTGCTGTCTGTTCATAACACTTATCTTCCTTCCTTTATACTCCATACTGGACCCAATAGATAGAAATGATTAATTCCCAGTAGAACTTTTCTGTGTGTGCTCTAGGCTATTTTTTTCCACTTTCTATTATAAATTTAGTTTATCACTACACCCAATTTTTTTCTTTTCCTGCTGTGGGCACTATTTCAATACCTAAAAACTCTCAATTTAAGTAGCAGTTTGTGGTTTCTCCCAAAACTAAGAGCCAGCATATAACAGCAAGAGGAGATATTTCAACAGTAGCTGATCACAAAATAGATGTTAATCTTGAGACCACATCTATATCTTAAAGTGTTCTTGTGCACATAGGTTAAAAAAACGCATCCATGTAGGATGGTTAGATTCAAAAGCCTAGAAGGTATAAGTTTAGAGAAACTGTGAGTACTGAAAAATTTAAAAGAAATTGGAACCTCAAGGTTTGAGTGTAAAGCGTATTTCTTTGCAGAAGGCAGGGGAAGGTGGCGGGGGTTTGTGAATGCTTTTTATTTTCAGCCTCAGATGCTCTCATAAGAAAGTAAACCCAAGACTAGGTGAGAATTGTGTGGCTTC